CGGCGTATAGGGCCCTCAGAGCCGCCGGTAAGGGACCTTTGAGGCACCGGTGTGGGGCTGTCATGCAGGTGCCGGTGTAGGCGCTCAGAGGTGCTAGTGTGATTCTCTCAGAGGCGCCGATGAGGGTCCTTACAGGCGTTGCTGTGGGCCCTCATAGACGCTGGTGTGGAGCCGTTACAGACGGGAGTGGGGCCTTTAGAGCCGCTGACGCGAACCCTCTACAAGCCGGCAGGGGGTTCTCAGTGACCGGCAAGGGGCCCTTAGGCCGGCAGAAGAAGTTTTGTGGGGTCCTTACTTAGAGACCGGCATGGTACTGTCAGACGCCGGTAGGGCCCTCAAAAGTCACCAATGGGTGGCCTTTAGACGCGCAGGTGTTGGCCGTTGGGTCCTCAGAGCCACCGATATAGGACTTTAATATAGGCACTGGTGTAGGCACTCAGAGTTGGGCGTGTGAAACCCTTAGAGACACCGGCACCGCTGTGGGCCCCCTCAGGCGCCGATGAGTTGCCGTTATTCCCCAAAGTTACCGTTATTCGGCCCTCAGAAAAATAAGTGTGGGACCATCACATGTGGGAAATGTCCCTAGAACTGGCCCCTCATAGGCCGATAAGAACTCTCAGAGGCCAGTAACGGCCTTTGGAGACCACCGAGGGACCCTTAAAGCCGTAAGAGGTCCTCAGAAGCCGGAGTGGGGCCCTTATGGAGATCTTAGTGTGGCTATTTAGGGCCCATGAGGTGTTCTAACGAGCCCATGGGGCCCTTCTGAGTCTAAATATGATCATCGTTAACCTTCAGCGGTCAAATGGCGCCGGTCAAGAGCCCCTCGGACCCGAGGGTCCCTTTGAACCCAATGGGGGGGGTACGTGTCCCCTAAGAGCCCCAGCTACGCCACTGTTTCATATGCATCATTTCAGGTATTTTAGGCTCGCCCCCCCCCCCCCCAACTTGAAAATCGTTCCCGGGCCCCTGGCGAATGGTGCTGTTGTTGTTTCCGTATGACGTCTAGAAGTTCCAAAAGTTCATTTTTCGAAAATTTTGTGTGTCGTGACGTCATAAAAGTTTGAATAACTCCCACATTTTTGAACCAATTTTTCTAAAAATTGGCATGTTAGTGCACATAGACCACTTCTCTAACATATATTCCGGTTTTTTGATAAACACAAAATCTTGGATTTTATGTTGAATTTCCCAAAAAAGTAAGTTTTAAATGTGGGTCAATATCCAAAATTTTCAAAAAACCGAGATAGCCAGTTGATAGACAAAGTAGAATCACGTAAAAACATTTTTGTTCCGTCTTGATTCCTTAAGAAATAAAGATTTTAGCGGCGTTTCAAGTTTGGCAGTTTTTGAAGCGAAAATGGCGTGACATGATGTCACTTAACCCGCGCCCGGCTGGGGGTCCTGGATTTCCACGCCCTGCTGGGGGGTGTTTGAACACCCCCCCCCCCTTCTAACTCGGCTCCTGGGCCACGTAGCGATACGCGGAAGGCGGCGTTCGAAAGAGCGTCAAAAACAATGACGAAATTACTTAGGTCAACTTTTTGGTCAGGTCAAAGGTCAGGTCACCAGAGGTCATTGAAGGCAAAATTTCGCCGATTTCCAGGTCGAATGTCGACAATCTCCAAGAAGCCAACGCATAACTCGGGAACCAATAGAGCTACAGCGCCGCGGAAAAGCGCATTCGATAGCCCTATTAACGCCCTTTCTGAGTAGTTCTCTCAGATTTGACCTAACGTCAACGGTTTTTCCTGCAGGGGGCAAAAAACTGCAAAAATAGCCGATTTTTTCGGAAACAGTTTTTCTGCAATAACTTTTGACCCAATCCTTGTACGAGCTTACTTTTACCGGCATCGTGTTCCTCTCGTCAAGTCGCATCGAATGAACTATAATTTGACCTTGAAAGGTCAACTTGAAAATTTGACCTCAGTTCAAGGTCATGACCTGACCGAAAAGGGTCATGTTGCATATCAGTCGATCCGTATCGTCGAGCTGAACACATCTAAGGCGTTTTCATCGCTCTAGCATGCCTCTATCAAAAGTTATTTGCGAAAAACTGTTAGATACCATTCGTGACCTAAGATGACCTCAGGGCATAAACAGAGGTCACTGACACCATTTTCATGTGCAGTGTGTCTAAACGACTTGTAATGCAGTGTTTGGGCATGGATGAGATAATAATGGATTGGTGTCTTCGCAGTTTTTGGCGACATTGAGCTCTGGCCTGCCATCTAGCGGGAGAATTATCGTAAGTTAGGAGCAAGCCGTGTGAACGCCGATGATTAGCATTGTGACACACGGGAGTGTGGTGTAGTAGCAGGCTTGTTGTGCAATTTTTCAAAAGGTTATGTCTTTATATGTCAGTAAAAGCGAAGAAATTAATAGATTTATATGCAGGGTCAGTAATAAGATAAGTAGTTCCATGTTATTTCTTCATTTTAAATCGTGAAACAGGGAGTTATTGTAGACTTCGCCAGCACGTGTCGTTTTCGCTATTTTCCACATGAGTCTTTACTTGGCCTATATCAAACAAATTGTCCGATCAAAGAACAAAACTAACGTAAGTACTATCATAAGTCTAATGAAAAAGTTAAACGGAATTGCTAACGTCATTGCCGCTCAATATGTCATTCAAGACGCTCTATGAAAAGGACCCAACCAGTGCTGCGTAGTCGATGAAATTTCAGTGACTTTGGCTCCAACTCCGATTCCGGTATCCAAATATCGACTCCGACTCCTCCGGACAGAACTGTCGATTCACACAGACTCCGACTCTGTCTCCGACTCTGCAGCCCTGGTAAGTCTGTGGAGTCGATGACTTTTCGGTGACGTTCGACGCATACTCCGACTACAGCTTTTAAAAATCAACCGACTCCGAGTCGGAACAGAACCGCTGGCTCTGACTACAACTCCGCAGCCCTGGCCCAAGATAGCCGTCTAAAACAACTTTGGTGTGTGATCTTCTTGGTACATTGTTAATGTTATTTTAAACAAGGAATGGAAAAGGGAGACGAGGCCTTCACAAACAAGGATCTCCTGTTGCGGATCAATCAGCTGCTGGAACAAATATGTAGGCATGAACACCACGCATCTCATTTCATCGTTTTCCTAACGATTCTGCACCAATGTAAGCACTGATCAATGCAGTGCGAGCATCGATGTGACATTTGTGTACCAAGTTTGAGTGTTATCCGCCCAGCCGTTCTTGAGATATGGAAGCGGCACCCCGCACGTGCGCACGTGCAGTAGCATCCCCATAGTGACACATGGAAATGCATTGGCCACTGGGTGCCTAACTATTGACGAAGTTTTACTGTAATGGGCCCGGCCATTGGCGGAGTTACTTTATGTGGGACAATTTCGACACCCCTAAGTTGGCACGTGGCACGTGCCCTAACATTAACTAAGATGAAGAAAATCGGGCCGGAAATTCGGAGAAGAAGGAATAAGCCTACCAAATATGTATGACATATTGTCAAACTGCTGTACCATTGTGAGTAAATGACCATATAAAAGGTCGTACAAGCCGATGGGACTGGGCGTTTCAATACACACCGTCTTACGCATTTTATTTTCGTTATTACCTAAAGCTGCTTGACGTTTTTGGCTTTCAAACATTTAATACATTTTTTTGTCGTCTCAGGTCCAGTAAGATTACCTCCAACTCGTGGGAATATGCACTTCAAGCCAACTAACACACCACACCCACGTGTGTCATAATGCTGAGAGATGGCGTTCACCTGGCTTGCTCCTAACTTACGATAATTCTCTCGCTAGATGGCAGGCCTGATCCCAATGTCGCGGATCCCAATGTTAATTTCCACGAGACACCAATCCAATGGTTTGGGAGTGTTTATAATGTCTTTCGTCCAAAAGAGGCGCATTTCAATTTTCTCCCATTTACTTATAATGGGGAGGTCGCAAAATTGACCTGACCTTAGGTCATCGATATCAAAATTCTGAGATATACATTTTGTACATTCTATTGCTCTTAGCAATCGCCGAAAGTTTCAAAGCAATCGGTCACTCGGTGTAGCTATGACAGACATTGAAACTTTTTATGAGGTGAGGTCACTTCAAGTGACCTGGTGACCTGACCTTGAATGACCTTGGTCTGAAATTTTCACAACATGTGTAGAATTGATGTACCAAAAACTGCGGCGGGGAGCGCCGTCGTTTTGAGATATTCGCGAAAAACCACAGGGGGGGGGGGGGGGGTGTTCAAACACCCCCCAGCAGGGCGCGGGTTAAATCAGTGAGAGCTGGCTATCAGTTTGAGTCGGCTCGAGTGACGTCTAATAAAGGCATGCAGTTCGAACAATCGGTGCAACTTGGTGACAACTTAGTGGTCCCTACATATCCAGCAATGTTTCCGGCTTCGCGGTGAGCATGTCGGCTGTTGCAAAATAATTTTAACAAAACGAAGCAATTGTGATGTTACAAAATGTTTGGGACACTCTGTGTCGATAGCTCCATATCGATCAATAAAGCAGACACGCCTTATTATTCACAGGTGCCAGGAACCGGAACAAAAAAGAAAGGCCGAGCAGTACACGCACAACCAACGGTCCTGAATCAGGAAAATAATCACTAGAGAAAAAAATCAACCTCATTTTGACCACACTTACTTCGGACTTGACTTTCCAGGCTCCATCCAAGATTAGACTACAGGCTATGAAGGATAATTTCAGATCGCTTTGTTGTTTTGTTCGCGAATTGAAAAATCAAAATGTAAAAAAGCATTCTCACAGTCAGCAGCGATTCATATGTGACGTAGAGAGAATGTCTGGCGAACACTGGCACCGCCACAGCCAGCCAAGCTCTATGCCCGTTTTCCTGTGCCCCGATATGCTGGCCGAGTGTCTCATGGATTATTCGGCGTCCAGGCGGCGGCTGTGCCCGCTCTCAGGCGCCAGAATGTGAGAATTGATCTGCGGACTGCGGCCTCGGCGTCCTGCAGGGGCGCGTACCAGGCGCCACATTCTATACCCGGTAAACGGCGCGCGGGGTGGGAGCGTGCACCCGCAGTTCTGCACATGAAAACTCGGCACTACGGGATCAAATATCTGGTCACGACCGGACCCCGCCCTCGGGCTTGCCAGAGGAGGTATATATAGCGGAAACGAGGACGGCAGAAACGCAGTCAGCTCTCAGCGGCCACCACAACCTACCAGACATGATTAAGGTAAGGCTCTAAAGGCTCTAAATGGAAAATATATCACAAAGCCTTACTCAAGGAGGAATTTTGAAAATTGAAAGGAAAACGAGATTGCAAGCAAAAGGTATCAGATGTCATTCGGCATTGCCCTTCGTTTCAAATGTTATTCGTCATCCCATTGACAGCATTGTACCGCGCACACACTGTTTGCTCGTAGTTCCTAGCTAAGTTTCGATTGCAATGTAACAATGTAAGCTGCGTGTTTTACATCATGTCTAATTGTATAACGGCTAGTGGTGGTATATCACCGCCACCATGAACACCCCGAGGTTTGGTTGGATGGCTCACTAGCGCCGTCGCCGTGTTCCGTTCTGTTCTGTTTTCAGTTCGCCGTTCTCTTCGTGCTGGTGGCCGCAGCGGCTGCCAGCGGTGGGCAGAGCAACGTCCACGTGTCTACGTGAGTCCGTAGTAGTCATAGGCTTTAGCTAAGAGCATTGTACGTACAGCAATAGTGATATACCATTATTGATGTGGCTGTCACAATTATTTGCCTTAATTTCGCTTGAAAAGTTCACCTTGCTTATCAATACAAAAGGGAAGCTGCTTCCACTGCTTTCATTCTATTATTCTACTTTTAGTCATTTACTTCATTCAGCATATCATGAGTCTGCTCTTGACCCTCAACAGAAATTTTGGATACCAAATTCTGACCCGCCCTGTTTTTCTTTCTCAGTTTCACGCCATACTCGAGTAACTCGTACGGATCCCATGTGAACCATGGATACTACGTGTAAGTGCAGTTCAAGACTGGTTCCCATGAAACGGTCCTTATTTCGGGGGAAATCATGCGATTAAACTTTGCAAGTTAATCAGTGAACCGTTAGAATAGAGAATATGAAAATAGCGCTTTTATCGTAATAGACTGTTTCTGCCCAGAAAAGAAAGAAGCAATGAGTGGTGAAAAAATGGCAGCCGATATTGTCCAACTTGCTTTAAAACAGAAACACCAGAACGTTTTGATATGTAGATTGATGGGCCTGGTTCAAATCTGAACTTATTAAATATGATCGAAATGTGTGATGAAAATAGTGGCGAAAAGGACCACGAAAAAGCACCAAACAACCTACCATGTGCATTGTTCGTTAAAAACAATGTGATGTTTCGGTGACAAACATTCTGTTCCATTTTCAGTCCCGGCGGCTACGGCCGCTACGGCCGGTACGTCGGCGGCTACGGCCAGATCTACGCCCAGGGACAGGGTATCGGGCTCAGCCAGGGCGGTGGATACGGCGGTGGATACGGCGGATACGGACAAGGATACGGACGCGGCGGACTCAGCGGATACCAGTACGGATACAGCGCCGACGTCGGAAACGGATACGGACAGGGCGCCATCGGAGGTGGATACGGCGGAATCGGAGCTGGATACGGCAGAATCGGGGCTGGATACGGCGGAATCGGGGCTGGATACGGCGGAATTGGAGCTAGGTTCGGCGGAATTGGAGCTAGGTTCGGCGGAATTGGAGCTAGGTTCGGCGGAATTGGAGCTAGGTTCGGCGGAATCGGAGGCCAATTCGGCGCTTTCCGTCGTGGCTACGGTAGGCTCTACGGTTGATTATGTATTAGTGGATTCAGCTGCTTCGGAGGGGGAATTTCGGCGGAATCAGTGGATATGGACATCTAGAAATGAGCTTTGACATGTATCTGAACGGTACGTGTGATTCCCTATTCTTCATGTTCATGGAGCATGACATAGATTATCTCAACATTCCTGTGTGAGCATTATTGTATATTTTCAGCCTGTTAATAAAATATTCAAATGATAACAATCTGGTGTCTGATGCAATGCCTCAAGGCATGGATTTACAAAGCTATCCCAAAGAACTGGCTACATGCACACATTAAAACAGTCTCGGGTGCCGAGGGAGTGTTTTACGTGAAACGTGTGAACCGGCCTGCAGTTCACACCGCTGTCAGTATACGGAATGCACCGATTAGCTGTTGAAGTTCTTGAAACGATTATTCGCTTTGGTTTTTCTCGTCTCCAAAGTAACGAAATTATTTGCAGAATCGCTCGCAACACTGCAGTTGTGGCAACTACATACCAAAAAGTTTGGTCTGCGCTATCGATACGCAATTCAACGAGCGAGCAGCATACCATGAACAGAGAACACAATGAACATAATTTGAACGAATCTGCCCCTAATGTGCACCAAATGTGTACCAGATAGCCGTGGTGAAAACGGCTATTATCCATGTGTTACCAGACTTTTTGTGATTATAAACATGCCAACATGTGAAATGATGCTTGTCCCATGCATTATGGTTGATGTTATTACTGTATACCTGGCCTATTAAAATACATTAGCTGTAGGGGTGTGGTAATAACTGGTGTAAGCAAAGTGGCCACCGTCAAAAATGCATTACCCATTGACCTATAATAAGTACATAATAATGTACAACCTAGAGTTCCGCACGGCTGCAATTTTCCACAGCCTAGCCGCTCCGCAGCCATGGCTCCACAGCCACAGCCGCCCACAGCCGTGGCAAACTGTGGGCAGCCAGCCGTCAGCCGGCCGTGGATACTTTCAATGAAATGCAACCAAAAAGTATATAATAAGTTGTTTTTAGTTGAAACATATAGCCAAAAGCACATTGCAATGGGCTATAGATTCTCAAGCTCATGAAGCGTCATAGGTTAAGTGGTTGTGTATCTGGCTTTAGGCCGAAGGCCTGAAGCCTGATGCGCAACGCATGCCTACACAAGCCCTTGCAAGGGGTTAAGAAAGATGGGTAGGTAGGTACCTACATCATCAGAAAACATAAACAACGAACCAGAATAGAAGCACTAGCAATGTAGACATCTAATGCCAAATCCTGAAGCATGGTTGTGGGACAGAACAACAGACCCTGATGCTTTTCATTATCAATGTTATATGGAAAATGATACTGAAGTTGATGGACTGTCAAACAGTGATTGTCTAGTCAAAACTCTTGCTTCTTTCTTACCTTGCATATTTTCTGGGGTGTGATATGCCAGGCTTGAAGCAGCCTTCTGAGCCAGTCTCAAACTAATTTGATATGCAAGGCATCAAAACACTAGTGAGCATCCAAGAAAGAAAAACATTCATCTATTTTGATTTTTCCAAATAATGATCTTCGCTCAAATCCCCAAGGCCGTGCGAGCCACAATTGCCTCTTTCAATCAAAAATTTTACTTGAGTTTTTAATGACGTCAATAGCAAAGAAGTGGCAATAAATTGTTTTGTGTCACTATAAACAGCCAAAAATATTATAATTTATAAATGATAATGCTATACAGTTAAACACGTGCTCTCAAACAAAGATTAAGCATCAAATTTTTACATTTTCAGAAGAAGACGTCATTTTATTAGTAAAGTCAACAGCTCGCGTAAGAAATATTGTGTTCAGGGTTTCACCGTCATGTGAATTACGTGTTCAGGGTTTTCACCATCATGTGAATTAACCGTAAGTAAAGTTCATGCTCACTTATAATCTAATTCCATTAGCTCCCTTAATCAGCATTTTCTGTTAGCGGTCACTCACACACCAGTTAGAACATAAAGCGCCAGTTTTATATTATGTAATTGGACTTGCCGAAAATCCAGAAATACGTCTAAGAGTTATTTCAGATAATATTTTATGAAGCCTTTAGATTTCTTTTTCTATTACCTGAAAGAATTATTGAACGCTCGTCTTCATCTTCAATAGCTGTAAGGTGCTCTCCAATGACCAGGTGAGATTGATTTGAGAGGGATGTGACAATGCAACATGCTGCATTTTCTGAAACTGTCAAGCTCTGGATGATGAAGGAACAATTGGTACCTATAATTACTATTCTGTACCAGAGTGCAAACTCCCCTACAGCAAATGGTAAAACCATTACAGGTTTTCAAAGGCTTCACCACTTTCAATGTTGCTGGGCATCCTTTGCATGATTTTTACAGGCTAGACTGCTTATCAGAATGTAAGATTAAGGATTTAAAATTTTATATTTGATTACTTAAGATTGAGCTTGAAATCTCACAGCCGTGGCCACAGCCGTAGCCGTGTTCTTGGAGATATTTGCAGCCGTCCCGGCCCACAGCCGTGGGGCTGCAGCCAGCCGCGGCTGCAGCCGGCCGGTGCAGACCTCTAGTACAACCCCCACTCGCGTTTGGCCTCTGATCGAGCTACAGCTTTGCGCAAAAAACGAGCGGCGTGTTGCACGTGACGAGAGGAAGCCGATGATACCCAAATTTTAGGCTCCTAGGCCATCGGTTGACCTTCCAGGTCAGGTCAATGACCCAAAAGTGCGGAAAATCGGAACCTGCTAGAACGTCGTATAGTGTGGCTGCTATGGAGTTTCCAGGGTGCTGATCACGAATATCATGTTAGTTTTGATCACAGCTGATGTCTTCATGCAATTAGGCTAGGTCGGGTCAGGTCAACCTCAACCGCCTCTGACAGCTTCGTGACATGTTACGAAGGCATCAAAACTACTTCGTTTATGTTCAAATGGGCGCTAAATTCGAATTAAGCTCCAAAACCTAGCCTCGAAACATGTAAAACTCGAGAAAAAAGAACCGAGGTCATCAAAGGTCAATGACCTGACCTGACTTCAGGTGACCTTGACATCCACCCTAATGCATGGGAGCAACATCAAACCACGTGTTTGAACGCTTGAAACCACGAAAAGACTGCAAACGCACGGCTAATACGAGCCGACATACGCCGAATCGCGATTCTGGCCAAACATGGTCTCGAAAAGTAGGTCACAGGTCAAAGGTCATTTGGGTCACGGTCATGAAATTTCAGGTGTAAAATTGATCAACGCGAGGGTACTGAAAGTTTCGTCGTGATCGTCCGCTCTTTACGAGTTATTTGAAAAAAAACTTAAGGGGGAGTTGCTTCAACCCTCCCCCCTCTGTGCCGGCGAGGGTTGAGGTACCATGAAGATCAAGTCGAGATCATTGGCCTTAGCTGCACTTTGCTCAGTTTTTCAGGTTTTACTTGTTAATAGAGTTTTTTTGGAACTGCTTTATAATTTCACACTCATTGGACATTTGAGTAGGTAGTTTTATTGCTTTCGAAAAATGGTGCAAAGCTGGAAACTACGGAGAGAGAGAGAGAGAGAGAGAGAGAGAGAGAGAGAGAGAGAGAGAGAGAGAGAGAGAGAGAGAGAGAGAGAGAGAGAGAGAGAGAGAGAGAGAGAGAGAGAGAGAGAGAGAGAGAGAGAGAGAGAGAGAGAGAGAGAGAGAGAGAGAGAGAGAGAGAGAGAGAGAGAATATAAAGAAACAGTTAAGTACAAGCTGATCTCACGAGCATTCACAATCATTAAAGGGACATGTTCATGCCTAACATGGAAAATGGAGTTGAGATAGCAGTTTCGCCCGTTATTACGGAGCGAGCGAAGCGAGCGGAGTCTTTCCTTAGAAACGGAAATTTATGAGTATGAGCGGCCGGCCGGCCGTGCGGACGCTTTTGCGAGGCTTACATATATCTCAGCAACCACTTGACCGATTTACACGCGGTAATTTTTGTAGGGTAGCTTCATTCCTTCTACCAAGTATTGGACTATTGCCGATGCATGTTGGTGACCCCTTATGCACGTGCCACGTGCAAAACGAAGATGTGTCAGTTTTGTAATAGTTGCAATATCTCGGTAAATACTGGGCCGATTGCGCTGAAAATTGGCATGTAGGTAGGCACTCACTAGGCAATGCATATCCATGTGCCTGAGTTGGGGTGCTGCTGCACGTGCGCACGTGCAGGGGTAGATTTCAGATCTCGAAAACGGCTGGACCGATTGCGCTCAAATTTGGTACACGGTTAGGGAGCGGTTAGTAGGGTGCCGTGCACAAGTCAGTTGGGACGAATTTCGCACGTGCGCACGTGCAGGGTGCCGCTTCCAGATCTCGAGAACGGCTGGGCCGATTGTGCTCAAATTTGGCACATCGCTAGAGACCGGTTAGTAGGGTGCCGTGCACAAGTCAGTTGGAGGTGCCATGCCACCTCAAAGTTTCGGACGTGCAAGGCTCACCCTCTCGCTCGCTCCGTTAGTCGCCCCAAAAGACGTATTACTGGTATGCTAAAACCACATAATCCGGAGCCATTCGTCTCAAAAAATATAAATTGACAGCGCTAGAGAGCAATTTTGATTGTCTTTACCAGATCGCCAAGGTCTTTACCAGATATGACGAGAGGTGTATGACGTCAGCAAGAAAAAGTCTAGATTTCAAGTTAACGGGAACGGATTCGCGATTGGTCTTTTTTTTAATTGTGTTCAAGATTGTCCGCAAGCAGCATGTTGAGACGACACGGGCAGATGGAGCGCGAATCGTCGTAAAGCTCTTCAGAATGCTTGCTTCTGATTGGGTAATATTCTTTGACGTTTCAAGCTGGAGAACTCAGTAAGGCTTTCCAGTTTCCTCATACATTTTGCGCGTTTTTGTTTGCTGGTTGTGAAGGCAAACAAACAAAAACCAAGCTACCAATAAGAAACCAAAAACACTTTTGCGCGGTTTCTTATTTTGTCCCAGTAGCTTTGCTGTCAAGCAAAGTCGTTCAACCGAAGCCGTTGTTGATGAAGCAAAGCTGTTTTCTAGTGAAATTGTAAGTTACCAGTGAGTATTCGCAATGCTGTGAATTTTTTAAAATTAAATTGACTGAAAGGGATCCAAATTATTTCTGAAATAAAGCACCAGTTCAGGTCTGGGTCATTTTTTCAGCAAAGTAAAGCAAAGCAGGCAGGCAGGCACGGCACGGCACGGCACGGCGCGGCACGGCACGGCACGGCCGTCGGGGGAATGGTTCAAATTCAACAT